CGCTGCCCCGGGCGGGGGCGGCGCGAGGCGTCGGGATCCCAGGGAGGGTGAGACCTGGGAACGGCGCGGGGGTCGGGCGCGCCTCGGGCCGGGATGTGGGGTCTGCAGGGTCATCGCTTTGTGTAGCGTGGGGGGTGCGCGAGGTCACCGGATGGCCGTCTGGGGAGCTGCAGGGTGGGGGCGCCCTGCGCCGCGGATGAGGGTCTTCAGGATTTGTGCGGCAGTCTGGGGTCGGTTGGTGGAACGGGGGCGCGACAAGCGAGGGTCGAGTGGGGCTGGAGGCTCTGCGTGCGCCCTGGCGCCCAGTGTTTGGGAAACGGGTGGGGGTGAGGGGGACACTCGCGCGACGCGGGGGCCCGGAGGGGAGCTTTGTGAGCGCGTCGGGGGGGGGCGGGGAGCTGACTTCTGCGTGTGGGACTAGGGCCTGGCGTGGGCCACCGCGTGAGAGCCTGGGCCGCGAAGGCTGGTGAGGGCCATGAGTGAGGAGATGGTGCGCGCTGCTCTCTCGCGGCGGTGCCCCTACGCAGGCAGCGGCGCCCAGGCCTCGGAACAGGCCCTGCGACCCGGCAGGAAGCGGCCCCAGAGGCCCGGGGAGCTCCGACACAGCCGGGCCCTGGCGCGAGGGCCCTTCGGGGTGACGTCACGGTCGGGGGCACCCGACACGCGAGCCGGGTGCCCCCGGACAGAGGAGCGCTAGCCAGGGCCAGGCCCCCACGCCTTGCAGGCAGAGGATCCGGGAGGAGGACTTGGGGGGCGGGCATCAGGCGGCTTGGCCCAGCACGGCGAGGGTGAGGGAGGTGGCAGGACATGGGGGTGACATTTGGAACAGGGGACGCGTTGGGGGCCACCGAGGAGGGGCGGAGGGGAAGCGAAACACCAGCCAGGCCCGAGGCTGCAGCGGCCCCAGCTTCCTGCGGCGCCCGTTTTCCCTGCGAGCCGTTTCCTTTCTTGGGGCTCTCGGTCCTCCAATCCATGCCAAGGGCCAGAGTGCGAGCCGAAGCTGTGCCCTTCTCGGGAGCCCTTGATCCTGGGAAGCGCTGGAGCTTGGGCTCTGAATGGATAAAACCGAGTATAACAATGCGCTACTGGGGGGCTGGGGGAGGGGAGCCAGCGCGCCTGAATGGCGGACCCGGGCCCCTAGCTTTCCAGCTCAGCTCTCGCTCCCGCAGCGCCTTTCCCATGGCTTCAGCGGGCTCTAAGTCAAGGACCCACGCGGGACCCGCACTGTTCGCTCCCACCCGAAGTGCCCCCTCCTTCATTTCTCTCCCGGCGCAGCGGTGTGTGAGGATTCAAGGGCATTACATCTGGTTGCAATCCAGTTTCAAGCCGCTGCCTGGCTGTTAAGACCTCGCGCTGACGTCAGAGCAGGGGAATTACTTCTTTTTATTTTATCTTTTTTTAGTTGTCTGCTGCCCTGGGAGGGGAGGCGGTGGGGGGTTTGGGGGGTGGGTTAGGCAGCTCTGATGTGGAGGCGCCAGCGCCCTGGGAGCCCCAGACTGGGGCTTCTCCCTCCATCCCTGTCCAGCGTAGGAACCTCACTCTGCTCTGGACCAGGCTCAGCCTGGGTGGGGGCCGCTCTCACTGCAGACAGAGTGGAGCCCCTCCCTCCCCCACTGACCACACAGCTGCATTTCCAGAGGCTTCCCTGGGACGGAGCTCGGATGTGGAGCTGGAAAAAAAATCTTCCAGTTTCCCACCCCTCCCCCTTGACAGCCTAGGGGTATATGGGGCCCCAGGAACTCTCTGGAGGGAATCCGTAAGAGCCAGGAGAAGTGGCCTTTTGGGTGACAGGGAAAAATGGATAGACTTTTTGATCTCAGGAGAGGCTCAACCCAAATATCCTGGCAAAGATTCTCACAAGGAAAAGCCTTGGAGGGAACGAGAGTGTGAGCCAGAGCCCAAGGGGGTGAGCCAGGCCCCACAAGTCATCTGTGGAGTGGGCAAGGCAGACCTCTCCCTACAGCCGGGCTCCCTCTGGCTTCTTTTCCAAACAGACCTTACCCCCTCTGAACCAAGAGGTCCTGGCAGGCAGGGCCTCTGGTTGATTCCTCTTTAGACTCCCGAGTCTAGAGCAATGGTTTTCAAACTCTTGCCAGTAGCTTATAATAAGAAATCCATTTTAGATCACAATTCTGTTCAGTTCCATGGTATATATCTGAAACAAAAGTTTAGTGAAATAACTTCTGTGTTAAGTCTGCTGATCTGAAACTTTCTGTTCTAGTCTAGTTGATTTTTTTTTAATGCTGGTTGTGACCCACTAAATTGATTTCACGATTCACTAATGAGTTTATACCTCAGGTTTGAGAAACAGGCCTTAAAAGTGAATCTTATTTAACAAACATTAATTGAGGCCCTAACAATTCCTCTCTTTTAATGACTCAAGTAACACATGGGCCAATTCTCACTGAAAAATGTAAATAACCCAGAAGTACATAGAGCCAGCCCTCCAGTAGGTTGTAATCATTTTTATTGTTAAGATTTATTTATTTATGCATCCAAGAGCTTGGAAGCAGGCCATATATAGATGGGGGGATGGGTGAGATGATTCACCAGGGACAGAGTGAGGAGCAGAACAGGCAGATGTATTGAAATACACTGCTGAGGGGAGCAGCAGGTGAGTCAGGAGAGGCCTGCTGCTCCCAGGTCACTGGCTGCAGAGGGCTTAACCCCTTGTGCCACCAAGGAGGCCTCCCAGTAGGTTGTAATACATCCTTCTACTATGTTACTTAAGTATACATGTCGCATCTGTACAAACACATAGTTTTCTTTTACCCCAAGAGAACACATCTGGGGGCTTTCTTTCCAGCTTCCTTTTCCCTTTGCATCTGTGTTGAGGTGGTGACTCACTCGGCCACTCCACCAGGTGTGGTGTTTGCCTCTCTTTGCCTCAGTGTTTCTAGCTGTATCACGTTGATAACCAGTGTTGGCTTCACAGACTGTAATGACGATTTAAGGGCTTTGTCCACATAAACAAGGTTCAGGGTAGCACTCGTCCCAACAAATGCCTGTTGCCACTATCATGGTGATCGCTATTTTATTTCCACGGCAGTCCATGCTGGACCTCATTCTTTTAATAGCTGCCTGTGGCTGTCATGTGGATATTTCCTTTTTACCCCCCCACCCCCGCTTCTGAGGAGGTGGGAGCATGTGGCACAGGGGGGGCACCCTGGGGGCAGTGTTTCTAGGGAGCAGGCGCCTGGGCTCACTGGCCTGGGAGGAACAGGTATCTTGCAAGGAGCCACCGTTTTAGAAGTCCTGTCTCCAAGAAGGCTCATTCCAGTGATGATTGAGAAGCAGATAACACCGGAGGGAACAGCACTGTCCCAGAAGCTCGTGCCAGGTCCTGGGCAGGAAATGGGCCCATTGTAAAAGCACTGTGTTTGCGGGATGATGAGGGAAAGCTATGGCAAGGTCTCCAGCAAGGCTTGCCCTGGAGAAAAGAAGAGAGAGACAAACAGATCATTCAGTTCCAAGGCAGGTGGGACTGATAACCTGAACTTCAGGATTCAGGGCTCAGGGTGTCCAGTGTTGGCCAGCTCTGGGGGCTTCATGGACGAAGGAGACAGAACAGGTGCTTTAAGTGAAGATCGATGGGT